GAAATCAGGTCATTTTTCAAGACCCCGTTCCTAAGTTTACCTCCTTCTGATGTATCTTTTATGACATGGCCTTGCCCACCCTTCCTAGGAAGAATCAATTGTTCCTTCTTGCTATATTCTCATTTATAGCACCTACCACAGTGTATTTTTTTATTTGTGTATTTCTGTCCCTTTGGGCAGCCTCTGAGCTTCTAGACAGCATAGAATGTATATTCTTTCTTTAAACATAATTTTAAAGGTCAAGTATTCTAATAAATTAAATGGAAATTTAATAAGCATTATGGAGCCTCTACTATATCCCAAATATTACCAACCATTCAGAATATAGAAGGTACTCATAAATATTACTGATTTGCATTTAATTGATGCTTACATTATTGACCTTAAAAAAATCTTTTGCAGTTTTGATGATCTGTCCACCTCTTATAGTTGCAGTTATTCACTCCAGAAGGTTAGTCCTCAGTAACAAACATTTTACAGGCCATTATTTATTTATCATCATATATATTTAACAAATTTTTATAGGATTTTTCCACCAGATTATCCATAAAACATCAGAGTTGCCTTTATTTAGTGGAGAGAATCCAAACTAAATTTGATTTAGAATTAGCCTCTCTTTAGAGCAACTATTCGTGTATAGAGTTCAGTGATCATAATAATAATTTCCAACTTAGGTATAGAGAATGGATAAAGGTTTTTTAAAATTCTGAAAAAAGTTTTGATTGGCAAATGGTGGGAATGGGGAGAGAGGGTAGGGGAAGATAAAGTTCCCAGAAGCATATAATCTACTGAAAAATCATTTGACTTTGCATGATTTTAGTATTGCATCATAACCACTCAAGAAGCAGTGTGTCTGAACAGGTGGCCCATGTAGAGAATATACATTTTTAATAGTTGCCACATGACTTTGGACAAGCCATCTAGATTGCTTAAGTATCCCAGGATCTTCCATAAAATTTGGTCATTAGGGAAACCTGGTCATTCCTTAGGTAAATTTCAGATATTAGAAGAGCCATAAAAGATTGACTGCTTTAAAAAAAAAAAGTAGATGAAAGGATTGAAAAAAAGTTGATAAGAGCGATGCAGGGGTGTGAACCTTTCCTTATTTCTGGAGAATCTTTAACCTGGGGAGGAGGAACTGATTGAGTTTAAAAAGTGGTAATTTATTGATATAATAGAAATAACTTGCTTATCGTTTTTCTTCGAATAAGTATGTGTTTAATTCACACTTAAAAATGGGGAATATGAAATTTTCATAAATGTGTAATACAGAATCTATTTCAGTTCAACATTATGCCTAGTCAAGTCAGAAAGAGATAATCACAGAAATGTAGAAAATATTGATTGAGACCAAGGAAGAGAAAATGAAAGATGGGGAGACTGAGGGAGGACTGGTTTGGGTTGGCTGCCTTCAACACCCATTCCCCTCTCTTTTTCTCCACCACATCAAAATCTTGCCAGACTCAAGACCCAGTGAGCTGGGCAGCTCACAACCCTTGCTCTGACGAGCCTTGTTCCTCAAAGACTTCAGCCTTCTGGAAAGTAATTTTCACTGCTGGCTGGTATTTACTGCCTTTTGAGTATGACAGTTCCTTAGAGCCTTGAAGCAGCAGTGCCCTTCTCCCTTTTGGGGAGCACAGGACTGAAGCCTTTACATAGGATTTCTCAGGTGGGCACACACTCCTCCATGTTCAATCGATCCACCAAAGACATTATTAGACATTTGCAATGGGGTGGTCAGAATTTAGTCATGCCCCTTTTCTCCCTTTCTTTCTAAGAGTTAGTCCGTTAAAAATATTAATCATTTTTTAATGTGGCTCTATGCTTAATAATATCTTTCATTTATTGATCGTGTAGAATGTGTCTGATCCAGTGCTTTTGATGCTCAATATGGTTAATCTTTGCAACAGTTCTGCAAGGTGGATAGTATTACTTCAGTTTTAAAGATCAAGACATCAAGGCTCTACGAGTTAAGTAATTTTGCACAGGATCGCACCACTAGTAAGCGCGCACACACACACACACACACACACACACACACACACATATACACAGAATAAGGGAGGGGTAGAAGAGAGAGAGAGAGAGTGAACTTGAGCAAAGTGATGGAAGTGGTTAAATAAAACCTTTGGGTATAGAGTAATTTGACCTAGGTGGTGAATTGGAAGGGTCTTAGATGTGGTCTAAATAATTCCTTCTCTGAAGTTAACCACAATAACAGTTCATTTTTGGTTTCTCTGCCAACTGCGACTCCCTGGTTACTTCTTTTTCCGGCAGTTGGAATTGAGTGACTGATATAAGGTGACATAAGACTTAAGAGTAGGTTATAGTGTTAGAATTTTCAGCTGAAAAGTAAATGTTCTGTTGCTTGCCTGTTGAGAAGGCCATCTTGTATGTTTTGGGGACATAGTATATAGTATATGCTATTTTACTTCATGAGAGGGCACAGGCTTTGGAGTATGAAGGAAAACCTGCTATGTGCCAGAAAACACCAGATCATTTTAGAAAGTAGAATTGTTACAAAAAACAAATGTGTGACTCAAATTTAGGGTCTACTGCAGCTTTCCCTCTAACGCTTGTGGTTTTTTTTTTTTTTTTTTTTTTTTTTTGAATTAAAGAAGTTGGTCTGCAATGGGAAGAAAAAATAATTTGCAGCAAGAAAGAATAGAGCTTCCTAAGTGGGAGGTTGTGGTAACAGGGGATGCCATTGTTCTAACTGAATACTTGCTGAGGGACGGAAGAGACCTTCATTCTTGACTCTACTGGACACATATTTTAGCAGCAGATGGTGGGAAAGAGATTTGTGGTGCCATTTTGAAGTTGATATAACTAAACATGCTAAGGATCACGTATAGAGTCTACAACTCCTGAAATGAAGCCCCTGCTGCAACTGATGACAAGGTTAACTTACCTCCTGTTGTGTCATCATGAAGGTGGAGTTAGCAGCCTTGAAGGATGTATGTCTAGACCTTCATAAACGTGACGTAGCTTTAGAGGGAAAATAAAATATGAGGAGGCTCTGGCCAGTGGGTGTGTTATACGTAAATAAGGACTCCTCAAACTGTTAGAATCCCTTGATAAATTAAACTGGAATGTAGTGTCAATACTGAGAGACGTTTGTCAGAGGAACTGAAGGCAGAAATAGCTGAGACTGTACCAAAATAATATAATTTATCATTTTTTATGTAACTATTTTATGTAACTGGAAAGTGGCCAATATTGTATCATCTTTTATAAGAATGCATAAAAAGAAAGATTGATCTCCTAAGTTATAAGTCACTAAGTTTTGCCTCAATTTCAGAAAAAGTAATAGAGGCATTCATGGGAGATGAGAGATAAGATTTTTAGAGAGTACTCAGCTCTGTGACTATCTGCAGGAGGCTCTAGCCAGAACCCAGACGGCAAGAGTGTTCCTTTCCAGTTTCTTTACTTCCACTTTGGGAAATTGGGCAAAACTTGGAGGAAAATGTGGGAATCACTGAATATGTTTGCTAAGATTTCGTGAGGTCTGTTCTAGAGCAAAAACAAAAAGACAATTAAGGAAATGGGATGAAGGGGTAAAATTCTGATCTCAGCATGAAATCTAAGCTAGCAGGCATGAGGCAAAGGGCAGAAAATACATAACCAAGTTTTATACAAGAAGAAACCAGCAGGATGTTCTTGCATTTAATAGTAGAAATAGCAATTTCAGTATGTTAGTCACTCACCTGGAAGAATGGAATAACCCTGATGAGAAAACCAGCATATGATTTTTCTGCTTAGCCTAGACTCAATCCTTTTCTTGGCTCAAGCATAATGGTAAAGTTTCAGGGAAGAGACTTATCAGTGTAAGGCAGTCTATGACAGAGACTTCATCTGTTCCCCACCTATCAAATTTTGTTGAAATTCACTATCAAGTTCAAAATTGCCTTTTCAAGGCAAGCAAGGCTGCTGAATCTGAGCCATCCATTCCTCAGGCATTTACTGCAGGCCCAGGGCATTTGCAGCCATGAACAGCACACTGAGGAAGACACAAAAGAAGTAGACAGAATCTCTGCCTCTGCTTAAGAGCATACAATTTAGTTGGGGAGACAAAACTTAAATGCTCGAACCAATAAAAGAAGATTACAAAGCAACTTGCAAGTAAGTGTATAATAATATGGGGCAAATGACACAGATAAATGCAGAGGGGACATGGAGGAAGGAGGAGTGAGCAAAACACAACAGCATCGGATTAGTCAGGAAAGGCATGTCGCCTAACAAATTGTCTGTCCTCCATGTTCCTTTCTGTAGTATCAGTGAGGAATAATGCGGGGTAGGAAATTCAGAGATAATACATCGATCTCTTCTTCCTTATCTGAAAAGTCTGTGCATCTATCACAGATGGAAATTAAATTGATCCAACAATTTGCTCTCCACAAAGCCATGTTGGTTTCTACCTAGTAATTTATGCTTTTCTGGGTGTTTGCAAATCGATTGCTATTATGGGATGTAGAAAGATCTGGGCCTGGATCCAGTAGGTTGGGGGATTATTGGAGTGGATATGTGTACTTGTGTGTGAAATCCTAGAAAAGCGGACTCTCATTTCTGTGTATTTTATTCATTGAATAAAAACATATTTTGGAGTTTTTTAAAGCATGGTTAATTACATTCAGATTGCATTTTTCAAGGAATATATATGCTTTATTTCATATTGCTGCTGACAAGCCTTGATATTTGCCTCACCTTCAAACCATTTTCAGTGGCTTTGTAGTCCTATCTTTTGTTTCAAAAAAGCCTTGCGCTACCCCAAGATATTATAGATCAATACTTGTTTTTTCTTTCGACATAGAAACATGTATGGACATTCATCTAGTTTGATGAATAAAATGTTGCTATCAAAAGGCTTGGGAAAGTATACTTTGTTTAAGCACTCAACTTCATTGTTGTACCTTAAAAATTTTTTTAAAAGTCATTCTGAGGATTGTGAAATTCTTTCAAAACAAATTAAAAAGAAAACATTTTCTGTGATTTCTTTACAGATTCTGGACAATCAGGAAGTCCAAGCCACAATGATCCTGCCAAGAATCCTCCAGGTAAATATGTGTTCCAGGACATTTGCAATCGGACATTGTTGGAGAACAAAGGTACCACTGTATAGATAAACACCCCATAATTGGTCAGCTGCCTGTTTTGTTCTGGCAGGCAGGTATGATCGGGACAAGATGTGATTGTGCTCAGTCCCTTCACAGTGGCAAATACTTCTATATTGGCGTCATCAGTATTTACCTAATCATCAATGTTTTAATTTTTTTGGTGTTTCTTTCAAAATGAATGGTATATATTTTAGTTGTGTATCTTTTAGGTGCTAAAAGCCACTGGTGTTTGAAAAGCCAATAAACCTTTTAATCTTTCTTTTAAAACTCACAAGAAAAAGTAAAAATTTCCATACTGTTATTATGGTTTATCAAACTCTCATTCCTTTGTAAGGAGGGTAGTGGCAGTGGTTGGTTGTGTTTTTACTGAAGGATTTGTGCAAGAGTTTTTATTCCATAAGGTTTTTATCGGATCCCCAGAATCAGGAAATAATGAAAGTAGGACTTTTTCTATAGTACAAGGTATGCCAAATACCTTCTTTATTTTCAGAAGTTGTTCCAGATCTGAAAATGGGCTTTTATAACTTGGCTGTCTTCATAGTTTCATTGCTCCAAAATCTGAACATATAACATTTTGCTTTTGATTTAAGAGCAGTGTTTTTTCTCATGAGATAAAACTAACACAGGGAGTTTTTATTATTATAAGAATGTTAATTATATCTGTGACTTTGGTAAAAGAGGGCTCTAAGAATAAACTAACAAAAACAAAACAAAACAAACAAAAAAAAAACAGCCACATATGCCCTTTACCTCCCCAAATAATCTCATCTGTCTTTTCATTGAAAATAAACCAAAAAGTTTCTTAAAAAAATAATAAAAATTACGTCAGGTAGATTTTATTTTAGGTCCTCCGTTGTTTGATCTTCCTTGTCGTAGTGCTTAGCTAATGTGAGGCTGAAATACCTGATGAACCCCTAAATTGCAAGAAAGTATATCAGACCAATTTTGTCTTAAAATGATATTAGAAAGATACAGCAGTAAATAGACAAGGAAAAATGGAAAGTCAAAACAGAATATATTTTTCTTTCCAAGTCTTGCCTGTATTTTGTTCTTTTTTACCTTAGAATATTTATCTTTTTCCATGTATATATTAATTTATTCCATAGTGTACAAAATCACATTGTTTGACAAAAGTAGTATATACTTTAAAGATAAAAAGTTCTAATTAAAGACAGATTTTAAAATGTATGCTAAGTTGATTTTTAAAAATTTCTTTCATAAATCATTTTATATTACTACAAATTGAGAGCAAACCGTTAAAAAGGAACAATTTGAAGCGTAATTCTCAGTTATATTTATTTATTTTTTTCATGTTGGGGGGAGATTAAAATTTTTTCAGTTATCTTTCCAAAAAGACAAACTATTCAGAGCATAATAAATTTTGTCAGAAATTTTCTGAAGTTGAGAAAATTTCATTCATTTATAATATCTTTTAGCTTTACAAAGATTTCTCCTTTTTGTTTGACTAATGTTTTCTCTGTGTAGCATGATAGCCAAAAGTGAAATGTATTCAAACATTTTTTTTAAAAGCCTCCTCACTCATCTTAGAAAGAATGGGGGGGACCTTTGTAGAAAGAGTTGGTAAGTGTTATGTCAGACTAAACAAAGGATATGTTCTTGCATTTGAATGGCAAATTGATTTGAAATTAATAAAGCAGTTATTGTTTGAAATGCATTTCTGAACATGTACAGGAGTTATGCTCACCTAAAACTGTGTTACTTGATCTGAACAAATAATCTTTGGATAGCTATGTAACGTCAGAATTCAATTTTTCAATATTTGTCAAGAAACGTGGTTAAATTTTTATTTTGCTGCATTCAATGTAGCATCTCTTAATTTTTATGTTTGCATGTAATGTGGCAAACAGAAACAATAAGGGTGTAATACCTCCAATTTTTTTCCCTTTTGGATTTTCCTTGGAAATCAAACCTTTTTGAGAGTGTGTCCTGAAACTAGGATGTTATAAATACATTTTATGATTAGTCGAAAATTGTGCATATGTAAATTGTACATTGATTCTAGTTTTTAGAGCTAGAATATAATAAAATACACATAATACTAAACTTAAATGAAATGTAATTAGAATTTTCTTTGATTATTCAAAAGTCTTACATCATTTTAACATGCCTCATTCTTTGTGTATCATTATATTATGAACTTGACCATAGAACTTATTAAGAAATTCTGTTATGGACTTAGCATACAGATTATTAAGGAATTTTTGATGAAAGTAAGAGTTTGTTCTATAATACCTTGAAATATTAATAAATCAAGCCACTAGGAATATAGAATATTTTCTAATTTTAAATGTGAATAATCAGAACTTGATAAGTTTGTTGTTTTGTAGTTGACTGGGATAAAGTATATTCACTATTAAAAGCTCCTTTCATAAGTATGAGCATCTTTGCTATTTTGGTGCATAATTCATCTTTAGGAAGCTTTCATCTCTTTATTCTGGCGTCGGCTGCAAGGTGCAATCTCCAAAGTCGAGATGCAGTATCTCAAGAAGGCATAATCCATTTATGGGAAAATTCCATCTACTACCACAAACAAGGTCCAATCAAATCACTTTGCTGCTCATATTGTTATAACAAAGAGAAGCTAAACTTCTGAAAAAGATCACCTTGATTACCGACATTTTATCATCACTGGTAGTTTTCCACTAAGAGATGTGCAAGCCATGGAAATTGCTACCATCTACTCCTGTGTTTATTTCCCAACAGCTTGGGAAGAGATGGCAAGAATTCAAGGCTTTTTGGAGATATAGGCTCTTTGAAATCTGTTCCCCACAGTTGACATGAAGATGGAATCCCATCCAATCATCCTATAAATGCAGATGCATATGTCTGCCCACAGAGTGAACACCCCCTCTGGCTTGGCTTTTCTCCAGCATCAGACGAGACTGTCTGACTTGGAGACTACTTTCTTGCTGATTCAGAAGAACCTCTGAAGGGTGATCCTAATGCTCTTCAACCTGTAGTATGGATGTCTACAGATAGACCTTTAGTTTTTAACGTGTGTTTCTCCATTGGAATTACTATTTAAGCACAAGCAAAAAAAAACAAACAACACATTTTGGGGAGGAGGAATATTTGGTATTTGTTATTTTATAAAGCATTTAAGTATTTTTTTTGTATTTGTTATGTTAGAAAGCATTTAAGTAGTCTTTATGGTATTTTCTTAAACTATTTGTGACTGGCCGGACGCCTGTAATCCTAGCTCTTTGGGAGGCCAAGGCGGGCGGATTGTTTTAGCTCAGGAGTTCGAAACCAGCCTGAGCAAGAGCGAGACCCCGTCTCTACTAAAAATAGAAAGAAATTAATTGGACAACTAAAAATATGTAGAAAAA